CTTAAGCTTGTTGAATGTCGAGGTGTGACCTCTATTGATATAAGCCACGAGTTGCGAGGTGGGTGAAATTGACCTCGAGATGTGGAGGTCGACTGGAATTCTTCAAGGGATGGGTGAAGCCACTTGTCCTAAGATCGTCTTCTCGCAAGTCATTCTCATAACATTCTCGAGGTCCTTGAGTTACTAATCTCTTCACCTGTATCAAGCTGCTCTGCGGTTTGATTCATCTTCCAAGTCGATCTCATAAGCCGATGTCGAGGATCCCGAGTCGTAATCATTCCTGTGATAGTCGTCGTCTTTTCATAAAATTATCGCGAGTCGACATAACTAGCTCGACTTTCGGTATGGTCGAGCTATCGATGCCGATTTACACGAGTATGGCTATAAATCATAACTTTAATCTATTAAATTTTATATCATGTTTATTTCCAACATCAAATTTATCTTCTTTTTTTTTTTTCACTTATTCATCTCATTTTTAGATAAGATAAAATATAGAATTTTTTTTTGAAGACAAAATCTTATATCAATTAGCAACCTAAGTCATCTCATAATATATACCTTTGAGTGGAAATTGTATAAAATTTGATGGGAAAACATAAGGCACATAATTATTTGGGGGAATTTTGAGGCCACATTGAGTTGGTGGGCAAACTAGGGCACCACACCAGAAAAGGCATGGAATGGAGGGGTCTCTCTCTCTCTCTCTGTAAAAAGTTTGGGAGAAAAACACAAATTAAAGAGAAAAAAAAGAAAATTGAGAGAGAGAGAAAGAGAGGGTCATGAAAAGACAAGTCAAATGTCATATCTCAGATTTCTAATCATAAGACAGTCAGTGATAGTGTTGTCTATCAATATGTTAATGCTTTTCCCTTTTATTTTATTTTTTGGGCCATTTTTCTTTTTTTTCCATGTTTTAGGGGCTGATGGGTAAAAGTACAGTACCCTCTTGCCAAAATTATCATATTTTTTTATTTTTTTTTTTTGTTTATTATTGGTT